ATAGCCATCCTCCTTACAGAGTTACTACAGCAGCTGCAGATGGCAGATCTGCCCACTATAGATCTGCCAAGGAAGCTCAACTTCTTACTAATTCTAAATTCCTTTCACATGGAAATACCTAACTGGGAATTTATCAGCCATTTTTCTTAGAAGTAAAATTTAGAGCATTTTAGAAATGTCCTGAGAACTTGGGTATTAGTCAAATTCCTGTTCAAGCCTTTCTAAAATTTCTGTAGTGTTCTGCTTTAAAGTAATTTTTTTTTCTTTAGACAGGGTCTCACTATGTAGCTGAGACTGACCTGGAACTCACTATGTAGTCCAGGCTGGTCTCGAACTCACAGCAATCCTCCTGCCTCAGCCTTCCAAGTGCTGGGCTTACAGGCGTGTGTGCCACCACACCTGGCTGCTTTAAAGTAATTTTTTTTTCTTTAGACAGGGTCTCACTATGTAGCTGAGACTGACCTGGAACTCACTATGTAGTCCAGGCTGGTCTCGAACTCACAGCAATCCTCCTGCCTCAGCCTTCCAAGTGCTGGGCTTACAGGCGTGTGTGCCACCACACCTGGCTGCTTTAAAGTAATTGTACAACAATTTATTTATCAGACAAAGGATCACTGGACTCCTAGAAGGAGTCCTCTATATGTAAGTCAAGCAACCCAGTAGAAACCCCATTCTCTACTTAGAACTAAAAAGAAGTACAGGGAAAGGAAAGGAAGTTGGCTCTCTGAATCCCAAGAATGGGGTATATAATATGCTTCACATTTTATATATATACATTATATTTGATTTTCACAATAGCCCAGCAGAAAAGAAAAATTTTTAATTTTTCAGGATCACAGGTGTAAACAAAGAACTTGGGCTCTGGAGTTAGTACTGCGTAGTAGTTAATGATTAAAGCCCTGGAGTTATATTGCCTGGAATTAAATCCTAACTACTGCTTACTGTGCAATCTTGGACAAATTACTTTATTCCTCGAAGCCTTGGTTGCCTCTCCAAAAATGCAAACAACAGCATTATCTATCTCACAGGGCAGGGCTGGGAGCATTAAATGAGATAATGCTTTGGGACAAGCTACTTCAAATAAACTACCTTCTCTTTCTTTCCTCTCTTCCCCTTCCTCCCCACCCTTCTAGGGTCTCACTATATAGTCCAGGTTGGCCTTGAACTCACCATATAGCCTAGGCTGGCCTTGAACTTGCAGTGATCCTCCTGCCTCAGCCTCCCAAATGCTGGGATTACAGGCATGCCCAACTACACCCAACTCAACATGATTTATGAATTATGTGTGGCTTTGGATTGCTGCCAGCACCTGTTCTTTATGCATGAAGAGTAATGATTCTCACCTACTTTTCCAGATCAGAGATAAATGGGAAACTGTCCTCCTACAGCAAAGAGCAAAAATGAAAATTCCCAAACTGAAAAAAATCATCACTACATAATTAATGAATATGTGAAAGCTTTTGATAAAACTCTAGTGGTGTAATGTCTGGATGTCTTTTTTTCCCCCCAGACAGCCTATTTATTTTTTAATCTGAGGCCATAGGAAAAAGAGTATGTGTCATAGGCCAGGCATGAATACTGTGTGAGACAGGCTTGAGAGCCATCAGTGACTCCTATGTCATTCCCTGCAGCAAGAGTATATATAACTAAAAGCATTCTAATGGCTCAGGTGAAGACAAGTGAATCGTTGGCTGTGGAAACATCCAACATGTTTAACGGTGTGATTCACTGTATCCTAGTGCAAAGAGGTAACTGATTACTGGCTGGGCTGCTGGATGAGAAATTAATACCTCAAATTTTATAATTAAAATTAGCAATATTAACCTAAAATATTAATATATTGTGTTCTTCCAAGAAAAATGACTATTTTCTCCACTTTTCAAAGGAATTAATATTTAAGCTGCCAGGAAGATCTTCTTGACATCAAGAAAACCTTGGTATAAGTTCTACTTATGCAAGTTCCTAAAGTCTCTCTCTGAGGACAAAAAAATCACCTACTGAATATACTGGTGATAAGAATTAAATTATATATATGTATGCACACTATGTTAAAATTCAGTATACTATAGCTATAATTACTATGCCCACTGTAGAAAAATGGAAAAGCATAGGAAGAAAAAAAGAAAAAAGTCACTAGTAATTTCTCCTGCCAAAGGCAACTACTGTTAGCTGTTACCAGTCATCTTTTTAAATGTAATTTGTCTTTATATGTCTTTGATCTCAGACCATAGACTGTACGCATTCTGTTTGGACCTATTCATATAACATTTTCTCATACCAGTAACTGCTAGCTGTTAAGACTTTTTTTTACTGGCTTCTCATGAAATAGCTTTTCCTAGCTATGAAGCCTTTGGGAATGATATGCTCTTGCCTACCTACATCTTCTTGCCACTTTGGGGTCTGACCCCTTGCCACTGGGAATCCTCAATTCAGTCACCATCATCACTTGGGACCACTACAGAGAATCTCCTGTGCGCTTACAGGGTGCTGAGTATGCAGGCTCGCCAAAAACCAAAGGCAGAGCTCTGTAGGCCACAGTGCACGGTGGTGCAGAAAGCCTTATATTCCATAGCCATCTGCTCAACTGAGTCTCAGATTTTCTTCCACACAGTATAAGAGAAGATGCTGAAAAAACAAAAATAAACCCCCAAACCCGATCATCTGCCTTAAACCAGAGTGAAAACTCCTTCTTGACATCTTTCTTGTACCATCTCTTCAGAGAAAAGCAAGCTGTATTTTTGGCTTAATCATTTTTAAAAACTGCCATGATAGCAACATTCAGTTTAGCTCTCCACATTTGCATTGCCCCAGCTATACTATGATGCCGACTCACCCTTCACTCGCCATTGTTATCAGCTCTTTTTTTAAAGCGAATACAATTAACTATAATTGTGGAGCCCACAGTTCACTCTCAGATACAGGATTGGTAAGATTCAAGATTAAACACAAAGATAATCATCTAAAGCATTTATTTTGGCTAGCTCTCTGGGTTTGGGGGAATTTTAGTCATATTTATTATCCCTGTTCCTGTAGTTGCTCATATTAGATACACAGGTTTCCAGAAAAGCAATGGCCAAGTGATGATGCAGAGAAGATATTAAAATTAACTGGGAGGCAGAAGATTTGGCGGGGGGTTTCTGAATAATCTAAGATTATTCTAAGATTTTGGCTCTGGAGCTGAAGAGGTATAAGACCTAAAGGAATACAAATCCTCTGAACCTGTTCCCCATCTCAAAAACAGGAATAGTAACCTTCACTATGTTAGTCTTATAAAACATTTGTTTAGAACAAATTAAATGATACATGTGAAAATACTCTATAGGCTGGAGTGTAGCTCAATGATAAAGTACTTGCCTTGCATGTGTGAGGCCCTGACTTCAATCCCAGCAATGCCCCAACCCCACACAGAGAGTAACTGGTACCTTATGAAAAACTACACATGTAAGAGGGAAGATATTTTCCTTTTAAACAAAAGGTCAGGGGCAGATAGAATAATACCAAACACATTCATACTGGTTTTTGAATTCCTTCCTTCCGGCGGGTCTGTTTGCCTCAGGTGCTGGGATTGAAACTGGGGCCTTGTACATAATAAGCAGCACTCACCACAAGACAATACTCCTACCAGTGCATTTTGAATTTTTATCTATATTCTCTTTTTTTTTTTTTTTTTTTTTTTTTTTTTTTTTTTTGGTTTTTTTGAGACAGGGTCTCACTATGTAGTTGAGTCTGACCTGGAACTCACTATGTAGCCCAGGCTGGTCTCGAACTCCCAGCAAACGTCCTGCCTCAGCCTCCTGAGTGCTGAGATTACAGGCGTGCGCCACCATGCCCAACTTTTATCTATATGCTTATAACTACTACCTTAAAGTCCTAAAACACAGATCATTCTGAAAGACTGTATCCACAATTACCCAGTTTTCCTCCACACATGCCACCATGCTAATTGAAGGGCTGGCTAACTCCATGCTGTGTTAGATACTCCAATGTTAGAGCAGAACAGACTCACATGCTATCTCAAGGCACCCCCAACCAGCTAAGGAGGCACCAAGGAGAGTTAAGGAATCAGAGGTAGGAAAGATTAGGATCATTGACATTATAAGAATTTAAATTTTAAAAAAAGGCATAAACAGCTTAGAATTTAAAGAAATGTTAAAGAGATAGCATTTCCCAAAGAGGGGACCATTATCTGAACTCCTAGAGAAGTGATTCTGTGAAGCTATTATCTGCAACTCCTCCAGAGCCTGACATTTGATTACATTTAATATTCATCTTTTGCTTCCCCTCTCCTTCCTCCCCCATACACCATGTGTTCTTGCCCCAACCTGCCACTTTTTCCTCCTTTGACTTATTTCCATCCCTTCTAAGAGACAGGGTCGAGTTTCCTACTGGTTTTGTTAAGCTCTCCTTGCCTGGCTCTCCTGGGACACATCACCTGCCCCAGCGTTATGAGTGAACATCCCTCTTTGGAAAAAATCACATCTCACCCTTGCAAAGGAGACAGAAAATCATTCCAAATGATACTGCATTTATTTTTTCATAGAAAGAATAAAGTCTTTAAGTTCCAAGCTGTTTCCCTAAGAGGGGAGAAGAAATGGGGGAAGAGAAGCAACGGTGGTTCCAAACCCGCTCCGAGTTGGTCACTGGTGGTGGCACCGTGGCATTCTCATTCCATTCCGGCAGTCAGTCAAGGCAGGTGGGGGAGGGCAACAAATGGGCAGATAGACTTGCGAAGTGGGGAAGGTAGAGGTCAAGTAAAAGAAGTAGATGAGCACGGAGGAGTCTGAAAGGGACGGAGGATGGGGGAATGGGGTAAGGAATAAAGAGAAGAAACAGAGGGAGTACTAAAGAGAGGTGCAGAAACAAACTGAGAGATAGAGAAGGGAACCAGGGGTATGGACAGGAGCGGGAGGAAAGACCAAGTGGGATGGCAGGGCAGGGCAGGGCAGGGCAGGGCGCGGGAGACTGCCATGCCTAGCCTGGCTGTGTATATACTTCCTTACACTGTCCTCAGTAGCTGCCTTATCTATTTTCACCTCTGGCAGGAGCCGCCCGCCGATGTGGGAGCCAGGCCCGCCGATGAGCGACACCACGCCGTTGCAGTCCACCGTGCTGTTGCGCTTCACGCTGCGCCGCAGGCTGGGGAAGATGCGCGAGGAGCGGCTGCCCTGGCTGTAGCCGCTGTAGCCGCTGTAGCTGCTGCGGCGCTCTCGGGCCCGGATCGGGATGAACAG